GAGGTGGCTTGATGCCGGAGATTTTGAGTGATGAAGTGGGTCGCGTACTGAAGTGGGTTACAGAGGCGATTGTACATTGAGAAGCACAACATGATGGGGAGATTTGGGTGAGGAAAGGGGCCAAGATTTGGGGAGTGGTGAGTTGATGGAGAAGACGTGGGTTTCCAGATTTTCAAGCTGAAAGATGAAGGCATGGGGTTGGGGTAAGCCGGTAAGGTAAGGTGAGCATGGTCTGGTGGAAAGAGAGAAGCTTTCTTTCGTTGAGGCAGGCAAGAATCCAGAAGAAGATAAGCTCGTTGAAGGTGGACAAAGAAGAGGACAAAAACTGAAACAGTAAAGGAGAAGTTTGACCAATAAAGTGTACCCACATTTCATATATAAACTAGAATCAATACCCACGACTACGCCGCGAGAGATGTAGTTGTGTTTGCTATCGGTATAAAACAGTATACATATAACGAAAATGTTAAAAATTATATACAGAAAGTAAGTATTCTAAGTTTTGCTAAAATAAACTAAGAAATTAAAAATCTCTTGTCTGCTTTGCAACTTCCTATTTCAGGTCTGAAAATTCTACCATGGATTTCTTCTGCTTCACTTCTTTCTTTGGGTTGTTCTTCTGGTATGGAATTTATTTCCGAGGTATCCTTTTGGACTCAAATTCAATCCCTAATTCCTTCTCAGAAAGAAGATTGATCAAAATCAGCATGTTTCTTGCCAAAAAAATAAGAGAACATAAAGCTAGCTCCTCAATAGAAGAATTGTATACTAAGCATCTCCAAGTATAAATAAACTCAAATGTAACCTGTAGTTTGGCATGGGAAACCTGCCTAAAAACCCATTCAAACAGAATACCCGCAAACTGCAGATGCCAGGAATAGTTATACATTAGGCAAAATTAAATTCAGAATTGACAGCATGAGAATTTAAAACCCTTCCTCTAGAATGATAAAGAAAGCAAAGTTGAAACATCTATTTTGATAATGACACTTTCTGATTCTGCAGCAACTTGAAGGGACCTAAAGCTTCACTTCAGCTAATATAAATTCCAGACCAAAATTGTGCATAACAATGCAAAGGAAAATTGCGACTAATTTATGGAAGCACACCGGAGAATAAGATAAGCAAATGAACAAAGTATGAGCAGGAAGAAGATAATTTTGTGGATCTGGAGTAACACATAAGACCATACCAGCAAGTGTTGTCGGTACTGCTACTCATTCATGTTGTTGCTGCATATTGTTGCTGCTTCTAGAAACAAATGCGTGCACTGAAGTTATAAAGCAAGAAGCACAAAGCACAATACATAAAAAAGCCATGAGCAGCATGAGGAAACCACTACGGAAAGCACAATGATGAAGGATGAACGTTAAGAGGAATTGGAGTGACCTCGTTGAATATAAGACTAAGCCTCTGCAACTAACTCCTTAACCATGTTCCTCGCCCATCAAAGTGAGTAAAGCACCTTCCCACCACTCAACATCATAGCAAGAAATGATGATAAAGAACTAACAGAAACTCACAGTAGAGGGCAAAGCACTGAGATGAGCAAATGGGAAATAAACAATGGATGGACTCTGTACCATTATTCAAGGACTTGCCTGCTTGATATAGGCAGAAATCACAGATGTGAAGCCACCTTTCTCCATCACAATTTTGAATCCATCATTTTCCCAAAAAAACTCTATAGCTTGGCTGAATTTTGTCATCTTGCAACACCCACTTATCAAGACATTGTAAGTAACAAAATCAGGCAATACTTTTCTTCCCCCATGGATCAAAACAATGCAAACAACCTTGTCATGGTCCCCAACATTCATATACGCGGGACAGTCAAGACAAAACTCAATAGTTAACCTGGATTACAAAGAGGGAAAAGAATGCAGGCTTGAAACTTAAGCATTAATATGACCATCGAGATTTCAGGAACTGATTCCACAATTACAAATGGGTTTACTCTGCATTCCCAAGGTTAACATCAGCGCAAGGTACGAAAACCCCAGAAGTAAATCAGACCAAACCAAAATGGGAACCGTAAAATATGAAATACCTGCTCACGTCGATCCTATATCCTTATATATCTCAATCGAGTTTCTTTTGAGCTGCGATTCAAAGAATGAACAAAACCAGTTTTATGTGATTAGAGAAATTGTTGCGAACATAGATGCGGTGTAAATAAAAAGGTTAGGAAGGATGATTGACAACAGATGATTGCGAGATACATATGGACATAGAAAGTTCCTTTTGTGAGTAATTTTAGGTCCAAGTTCAAGCATTATATACCACTATGGGAACTGTCAACCGAGAATAAGTACTTATTTCAGCCATGAAATCAGAACATGGTACCTGCAGTAAACAAAAGAGACATCATGAAGACGAACTTCAGAACAAAGATGATGATTAAATAGAAATCAAACATAAATATACAACACTAGTGGCACATATGGAATGGAAAAAGCGAGACATAAAAGGTCAAAACAATTCTGGTATGCAGTATGTCCCAGATGGCTATTCCTTCCAAACCTGCAAATAAGAAGTGCAAATCCAGCATAAACTACTCCCCTGAAGTAGCGTGACAACAAAGAAGCCAATTAATAAAATTCTATCAGCTAGAAACATCATATATATATATACAACCCTATGTATTAACAATCCAAACTTCACAGCTGATAGATCTTTAAGAAAATAAGAACTACAACATCCGGCCAACAGTAGCAAGCGCACAGGCTGGAACTGATCAAAGTCTGGGTAAACTCAGAATTTCTAGGTATAGAAATTCGAAATTGGTAAAGTAACTATGGAGAAAAGAATAAAAGGACATGAAATGCTTACCCGTAAATCAGAATCGGAAGGAGGGGCTTCACATTAATCTTTGAGACCGACCATATGCCTCTTTGAGACCCGAGCAGAGGATCTAGAAGCAAAATCGACCCTCTCGCCCTGTACTATTCCTTCAATAGGTCTGTTCACAGCAGGAGGCTACGACGGCAAAACGACCTGTGCAAAGTGGTTCGATCTCTCTTAGTTGGTTCGTGGCTCCATCTGGATCCTTCCATCTCTCTTAAGTTCCCCAACCCACCTTCTTATCTTTTCATCTACCTCGCTGATCCAAACCTAATCCCAAAAGTTAAGCTTCTTCTTCCTTTTTTCCTGGAGACCAATCCAGCTTTCCAACCGCCAAAGTCTCAGAATCGGCTTCCCTTTCTGAGCAACAATCAACATTCATGGAGCCATCAATTCGTTGGCCAATTAACGCCTCTCTAAGGAAACTACCAAAAAGAAAATCACAAAAATCAGAACCCGCACTGTCAGATCCAACAAAAATTCTAGCTTGGGACATAATTTATTTCAAATCTACGACTAAAAAAGACGGAGAAAACAACGAAGAGAAAATCGACTCACCGTTGTCTTCACTAGCCACTGATGGGTCTGTCTCTTCCTCCTAGGTAACACCCCTCCTTTCCGGCCATTGTTCTTTTGCATCTCTCTTTTAGGCTACCGATTTTGGTGTGGACGAATCGAATGTCGCCATTGAAGTCAGAGCTTCTCCTTTCGTTGTGGAAGCAACTTTGCCCAATCAAACATCGCCAATGTGTCATTCCACCTTTCCTACCACTGTTGCCTTTCTCCAAAACCCTCCTCCGATGCAGGCTCTGCCGTCGCCAACCATTCATGGTGGTTTCGGAGTGAGAGCATTATGGTCCCTCTTCTTCCTTTTTCTTCTCCGTCGACTGAGGGAGAGAGGTAGAAATAGATATTCTCTTACCTTTTCTTTTTCACTGTGGTGAAGATCTGGTAACCAGAGAAGACACTTTTTCTCAAAAGCACAGTGGAATAGTTGTTGTGGCATGGCTGGTGGCGTGTGTGAGGGTTGTTCAGAGGAGGCATGGGCAATGGCGTGTGCAGTGGAAGAACGTCTCCTTGAATAATGGTGGGCAAGAATGTCCTGTCGGTGAGGAGCTGTGTACGTGAAGCTCCTCTAACCATTTTGCGGGAGAAGTTTTAGAGCGCTCGACACTAAACGCCAAAAAATGAAACAGTAGTAGCAAAGTTAGGCCAATAAAGCGTACCCACCTTTCATGTATAATATAAAACAAAGTGGCTAAATTGCAAGTTTGGTCACTCAAATTACTAGTAAAGTTCACGTTAGCCACTATAATTACTTTATTTCATCCATTGCCACTTAGATTAGGTTAACAGTTCAAGTTTGGTCACTCGTCGTTAGTCTCCGTTAACTTTTGCTGATGTGGTGGTTAACTCTTATAGTTGACCGTTAAATGAGTGACGTGGCCATTAAAAAAATAAAAATATTTTTTAAATTTTTAATAATTTCCACCTCATAATTACAATAAATTAAAAAATAATTAAAACAATAATTTCCACCTCAGATATCGGGTATTGTTGGTTCTTCTTTACAACCGAAGAGTTAGATCGACGATCGTACTGGCAAACTCCAGAGTATCCCCGTCGTCGTGATCAGGGGCGGATGCACGGAGGTTTAGGGGTGTCCTAGGACACCCCTAAATTTTGGAGAAACGATTATTCAACCAACGGTAGTAATTTACATATCGATAAAAAATTATAATTGATAGTGAGGGACACTCCTGAAATTTGAAAAAATGATTATTCTAATGTCATTTTTTAAATTGGTGTATGTCTGTATGGGAATATAAGTAATAGGTTGGGTAATTCAAACCTAGAGCACTATTATTATTAACAAACTTAATTTCCATTAAACAACAACTCATTTGTTGTTTGATTTTGAACACTGTATCATAATAAAATGTCATTTCCTATTTCTAATTATTTTCAAAACATAGCAATTAAACTAATTTCAATCTACCCTTAATTTGTATTGATTTTATGGTTGTACGACAAGTGTTGAAAGATTCTTTCAACTTTGGGTTACATCAAGAACAAGTTTACAAATCGAATATGCGATAAGTTCGTGAATGATTGTCTAGTAGAGTATATAGAGACAATTTTTGTAACACTGTAGACACCAAGTGTATTCTACAATTATTTCAGAATATGAGAACACATAATTGACTTTTATAACCTGTGCGAGTAAGGTATTTTCTAATTCACAATTTTATTTTTATTAATTATTTTATTTTTATTTTTACTAAACTTATTTTTTAAAAGAAGACACCCCTATGAAAAATTCTTGGTGCGCCACTGGTCGTGATGGTGAGGATGAGGTGGAAGATGGCTAATGTTGTAAAAGGGGGTAACCGAGTGGAACTCTGGATTAATGGGAGCTCCAATTGAAGAAGAAGAAAAAAAAGAACCAACAATACTCAATATCTTCTTGATTCTCCGCCCACACGACGCGCCTCTTCCAATTTATTCAATTTTTCGCTGCCACGGTTGGGCTCTCACATGCATATGCTTTTGAAATTCCGAAAGAAAGATGGATGAGGAGAACCAACAGCAGGGGATCGGCACATCGGCGGTGAAGGCGATGAAGCTATATTCACGGTCGTCGGTCCTCGTGCTGGCCCCTGCCCTGGCAACGCTTCTCTGCTTCCAAATCACGATGGCCGGGCCCGGGGATCCTTCGAATCGGATTTCCCTACCGACGCCGAAAGCTATTCTTGATTCTATGGGAGAATCCCGGCGAGGAAGACGGTGATGTCGATTACCAATTTCGGAGGGGTCGGCGATGGAGAAACGCCCATCACGAAAGCATTCCGAAAAGTTGTTCGACACATGTTGTGGTTCGGGTTGGACGGCGGATCGCAGCTGAATGTGCCGGCGGGGAGGTGGCTCACCGGCAGCTTCAACCTGACCAACAATTTCACATTGTTTCTTGAACAAGGCGTTGTGATTCTTCTCACTCTTCGGTTGTAAAGAGGAACCAACAATACCCGATATCTGACAAAAAAGTTAATATGCTCACAAGGTGTTTTGTGAGTAGATACTCACAAGGCCCAAATTTGTCCACATCGGCCCACTTCTAATCCAAGGGTGAGGGGGTTAGCCCAGTCATGGCTCATTTAAGTGAGCTATTTAAGGGTTTTTTGCACAAGCCGACCGAACTTAACAAGGTGGCTTGGGTTCACCTTTGATTTGGGCAGGATTGAGAGAGGGAGCCGCTGAGATAACTCATATCCAGCCGAGACATATAAGTATCCAAAAATGCGCGAAGATCTGAGTTGACAAAAGAGAGAGAAAAGCATGGCCCACCATCTGCTATTTTTGTTGCTTTTGAAGAATTTTCACATGAGAGAGATGTTGAACATTTAATGCCACCCACCAACTATTCTCACATGAAGAGAGAAATCAACCCGGATTAATATTCATATCGTCCAATCTAGTATCCATCCTTAAACAAAATATTATCCATGGACCGAAGGAAATTAGTTTATATGGTCGGATATTAGTCTGGGCGGTATGAATATAAGAATATTAATTTTTGCATGAACTGATATTATATGCGATGGATATTAGTTTGTGAATTAATTGTGTCTTCCATCAAAAATAAAGGGTTATAGGTATAATATGCCCCTCTACTATGTAATTTTATCAAACATGCCCCTAGACTATTTTTATATCAAACATGCCCTTGTACTTTGGAAAAATGATCAAACATGCCATTCTGTTAAAATTTCCATTAAAAAAATCGCCAACCATGGTTGAACCGAGATGTAGATGACCCGACATCGGCAAATGAGAGCGAAAATGTCAGTTTCGTTCCCCATTTTATTTTTCTAGGGCTCATTAAAGTGAAATTATTAGAGTTATTTGGCTCTACAAAAGAACCCAAAAAATTTGAAAGTGAAATTACCAAAGATATTTTAGATATTAGTGTCGCCCAAACCAAGGTACGACCATGATTGACTGTTTTTGTATGGAAATATTAACAGAAGGGCATGTTTGATCATTTTTCTAAAGTACAAGGGCATGTTTGATGTAAAAAATAGTAGAGGGGCATGTTTGATAAAACGACATAGTAGAGGGGCATATTATACCTATAACCCAAAAATAAACACGCTATCAAGTCCTAACACACAAGGCTTGCAACCTTAGTTAGGCTGCCCGCCGAAGGCCAATGAATCAATAATATTATGAGAGTGTGTCTTCCAGACCCTGATAATAGTCCGTTTGTGATTTCAGAAATTAGTTTATATGGTTAGATATTAGTCAGGTTGCTAATGATATTTGTTCATATAAGGGTGAATAGTATTTCTAGTGTGGATGAATGTTAGTCTGGGAGCCACAGATATTTGTTCTATAAATGACAGATATTTGTTTTTTGGTGAATGGATGTTTGTATGGGCGGTATGGATGTTTGTTTTATGAACTTATATTATATGCGAGGATATTAGTTTGTAACTATTCACTTGCGAACCTTATGGTCACTATTCCTATGTGAACCTTGTACTAACTATTCAAATATCATCTTTGTTTATTTAAGCACCCACCCTAACATACTGGTTTCCCAACTTACCCACCATATTGTGCTTCTCTTCTGAAACAACTTCCATGTCTTCAGAGTCGGAGGATGAAGATATCACCGAGGAAAGCATCCGGAAATGAAGTTTTTTGTTTTGTCATGGTAGGTCTGATATTAGTCCGTTTATGATTTCGGATATTAATTTATGTGGTGGATATTAGTCAGGGTGTCGATGATATTTGTTCGCATAAGGATGGATATTATATTTGGAGTGGATGGATGTTAGTCTGGGCGCCACTGATATTTGTTCGATTTAGGACATATATTTATTTTTTATTTTTTTCGTTGAATGACATATATTTATTTTGGGGTGAATGAGTATTTGTTCGATAAAGGACGGATATTAGTTTTGCCTATTATGTAACCGAATATTAGTTTTGCGTTATTAGATGTTTTGTTTCCTTTATTTGGATATTGGTCTACATGGTTGTTCCTATTAGGCCTTCTTATTAATAATATTCGTGATTGCCCAAAAGAGTATTCATCCTCTTACATCACAAAGCTAATGTTTACTTTTCACCAAAATAATTTCAAAACCCCCCAACTAACTACAACTACATCCACTTGACCTACTTAGGGTTTATAGTTTAGGATTCGTGGTTTAGAACACAATGTATGGTGGTTCGATATTTTGTCTGTGTAGTCGAATATTAGTCTGCGATGGTGAGATATCAGTCTGTGTATTGTTGATATTTGATTGTGATGGTGAGATATTACATTTTTAATGATTGGATATTGGTTTGAGACAGTGATATATTAGTGTGGATGGTGTGGATATTTTTTAGGGTTTAGAGTGAGAGTTGTTTTTGGTTTAGGGTTTAGAAGATGATGTTGTGGAAATGGATATGAACACAATGTAGAGTGATTTGATATCTGTCTGTGGTGATAAGATATTATTATGTGATGAGAGGATATTAGTTTGGGATGTGTGGGTATTTTTCCGTGTAGTGAGTATTAGTTCGCGATGGTCAGATATTATTTTGTGTGTAGTGGGTATTAGTCTGTGATGGTGAGGATATTAATTATGGACCGACTGGATATTGGTATTAGACGGTGGGATATTAGTCTGGGTGGTGTGGATATTTGTTTTGTGTGAATGTTTATCTATGTTTGTTTGTGTTGATATTGAGTTTAAAAAATCCGTATAAAATAAAGTTGCTTTTTCGACAAACCGCGATACAACTAGTATTAATGTCATTCCAACTTGGCAATCCCATAATCTAAAATCCAAAAAAGTACAACCACATAAAAAACAAAAAAGGAATAGTTCAAATGTTGTCTTGCTTGATCAAACTCTCGATAATCTTTTTGATCATGTCCCTCCGAGCCCCCCATGTTTCGATCATGCTACGACGAGGTTGGGATGGTCCTTCTCTTAGTTGCGGTCTCTTCGCTTTTGTTTTAGTTCTTGCCATTGTCCAATATCCCTGGAATCATAGATAAATATCTAGGTATATATCAACTGATATCCCCGCCACACAGAACTAATATAAGGTAACTATAATCCATACATCCAGAGTAATATCCAGACAAACCAAAAACAATATCCACCAATGACATACCTAATATCAGACCAGTAAATTACAAAACTAATATCCAACATGAAACTAACTAAATATCCAACACAGAATGAACTAATATCCATCGTAAAACGAATCAATGTACATCAAACTAATATCCAACATGAAAAGAACATATATCAAGCATGAAACAAAGTAATATCAACCATAAAACGAACCAATTCTTGCCATTTTGATTTTCCTGCACAAACAAATATCCTGACATAAGCTAACTAATATTTGGGCTTCACATGAACAATATTCCTAACGTTCTGAAGTCATATCAATGAAGTCACATCCACATTCGTCAAACAAAAATCCAGTCTATCATAAAACTGATATCCCTAAAGATGACAACTAATATCAATGAGGTTATATCCGGATGCATAAAAAACAACTCGCATCCCATGCCACAGAAAACAAATCCAGAAAACCCATTCAATATAACTAGGCAAAAGAAAAAATCCAAATCCGCCGGTTTCCATGAAACCAGAAAACAAATCTAGAAAACCCATTAAAATAATCAAAGAAAAAGAAATTGAAGGAAAAGAAAAACCTAGATCCAATCGAATCCATGAAATCCTAACTCAAATCGAAGCAAATAAACATTCGTATCATGAATAAAGGAAGGAGAAGAAGCCTACCTCCGTCAAGGATCGTCGCGCCGCCGTCAAACAGGTCGTTCCTTCGCGCGCACCCCCGGTCTGCACCGTCACTGTCAGACCAGCCGCCGCGCGCACCCAAACTAACCGTCGTCGCTATTCAAGCCTTCGTCGCCGTCAAGGAACGTTGCGTGCACCAGTCGTCGTCATATTCTTAAGAGGAAGTGAGAAAGTTTTTGCGGGAGAGAAAGAGAAGAGGAAGCTTTTTTTATTTTTGGAGAGAGGAAAGAAATGGATAGAATGGTGGAGAGAGAAGTGAAAAAGTGGGTTTATTTGAGAAAGTGGTTGAAATTTGTAAAATGTGGACCCACTTTTCTTGATAGGTGAAATTGGCTTTGGCCAGCTGAGCCGATCAGCCTCTCCACCCTCACAATCTGGCGCCACTGCTCCACCACCCTCCGATCACGACTCGGCGACGTGGACAACAATATGCCCGTGTGAGTATATACTCACTAGAAGGGTTGTAAGCAGGATAACTAGATTGGATATCTGAGGGTCAATTGCTCTGGGTTTTGGCACTATCACAGAGGGAGGGTGTTATAAACGCGCTGCTACGGATCGGAAAATCGGCGGAATCGATAAAGCAAGAATACGAAAGCGAGAATCGAAAAACACAGACACACGATTTACGTGGTTCACTAACACGATGTGTGTTAGCTACGTCCACGGGCGAGAGAGAGTCAGTTTCACTATATCGAGGAGATTACAGATTACAGAGGAGTATGAGAAGTATTTATAGTACTTCTCCATGTGAGTCTAAACCTAATCCAATCTGGCAAAGGAAACGGTTACAGACTAGGCCCAGAACCAGAACCCAAATAACATTGAGCCCATACACCGTGGGCCGTGGGGGGGGGGGGCGTTGCCCCTGGACCCCACTCGCTGATCGGGCAGCGAGACCCCCGATTACCAGTCGTAGCGGCTGATAGTCCGATTCAAGTCACATCAACAGAGAGGATATAGTCAAAAAGTATGCTACAGGCAATTCATCTTTTCTAAAAATGTGGAAATAATTGTTTAATAATTTTTTAATTTATTGTAATAATGAGGTGAAAATTATTAAAAATTAAAAATTATTATTTTATTACCTTTTTAATGGTCACGTCACTCATTTAACCACCACATCAGCATCAGCAAAAGTTAATGGAGACTAACAGTCAGTGACCAAATTTGAACTATTAACTTAATCTAAGTGATTATGAATGGAATAAAATAATTTTAGTGGATAACGTGAATTTTACCAGTAATTCAATGCAATTTAGCCAAGTAAAGAATACCGAAAGTCAAGAAATGGAAGAGGATCCATCAACTGCAAGGCCGTCAGCGACACCTCGCAGACTTGCAGAGGAGGAGTTTATGGCCACCTGGAGAGTGGAAGACTCCGACGTTCAAGAGGTAATGAAGCCTCTACACCCCCATTCCACACTTTCCTCTATCTTTAACTGGGTCGTTATCCAATTCCCTTACTTTCGCCCAATTTGGGGAGAAAATCGAGGCTTTGGCTAATTTGCGGAGTTGTGAATCCATCAAAGATTTTCAAGGCATGTGTCCAACTTTGTCTTCTGAGATTTGTGATGTTTTTGTGGGGGTTAATAGGATGACATTGGGGATAAATCGGTGTTCATGTTCAATGCTCTGTTGGAACTTGGAAGAAGAGAAGAGATCCTTGATCCAGAAACTTGAACAGCAGCAGCAATAGATAGAAAGAGGAGGGAGGATCTCCAGTTTTGGTAAACCAGTGAGTTGTTGCAGTAAACTAATGCATTTGATGTATAGGTTATAGCTACTAGCCATGGGAAAAGGCCGTTAGTATGTATGTATGTATGTATGTATGTAGGGAAGGAGCTAGCTTGTTAGTAGGGGGAACATTTAAATCAAACAAAACGTGAAGGTATAATACACAAAATCTGGGTAGTGTAGTGGTTAAGGAAGTGGTCTAATTTCAATCTATATGGGAAGGTAAAGGGTTCTAGTGCTAGGTTTGCAATCTATTTTTTTAAAATTTTTTGTTTCAACTTAGAATTTACTTAAAATTTAATGGGTTGAGGGGACCATTTATTTAACCACGACTACTATATTATACGACTAGATTTATTTTAAAATTCAAATTATAGGACTAGATTTATTTTAAAATTCAAAATTATGAGTAATTTTTTAAAATTTTCTGTTTCAACTTAGAATTCACTTAAAATTTAATGGGTTGAGGGACCATTTATAAATAGCCACGACTACTATATTATACCACTAGATTTATTTTAAAATTCAAAATTATGAGCAATTTTGTTTTGAATTATCAAATTGGTAAGTATAATATGGAGAAAAAAATTGGCCCCCCTAATCAAGAATTCTGGCTCCTTCCCTATATGTATGTAGTGTAAGTGTGGAGTGTACTGCCTCTGCCGATAGCTAGTATTGATATGCTGTGTGTATATGTTGACGGTGCATTCTGGTCGATAAGACCGATCACAGAGCTGTGGCAGAACTCATCATCTTCTTCCATCGCCAGAATTCGACTTATATCTGATTAGATGAGCTCGTTCCAAGGACGAAGTTAGATTTTGAGGGCATTCCATGCTGCTGCTGTGAATTCAATATTTTAGTGAAACCTCAAAAAAGACTACTAATGGGCAGGTTCTAATGATACCCTGATGGACACTCTTAATGATTACTAGTATAAGACGTGATGCTTCTTAAGACGGCTTCAATGTCTTGTAACAATTTGCTAATCTCTTGAAATTATTCGAACACCTACCTCTACTCTTTAAGACGATTTCAATGTCTTGTAACAAATTCGTTAATGTCTTGAAATGACTCGAACACCAATCTCTACAGAGTATAGACCCACTAATTTTTACAAATCGCTATTGAATCGCATTG